ATTTTCTGCTAATTGCGAACTTTAATGAGCGTTTTTCCATCAAAACATGCCTGATTCTTAGCATTTTAAGCTGGAAATATTAAGAGAATGTGCTCACAATTATAATGACACCCTTAAAACCCTGAAATTCCTGATGGAAATCCTGAAAATCGCCTTAGCTTTCTGGAAAACGTTTTAAATTAAATATTAGGAAAAAATGCGGTTCTTAATACAAGACCCCCCTGGAAAATTTTTACGCTGCAACATAATAGAAGACCCGGGGTCTTTTATTGTGGAGGGGGGGGGGTTAGTGCAATTTCTTATAAAAACAAAAATTTCTCTTTATATTGAATTAGAGTTCCAGGCAAACAAACTACGATAAAAGAATTACGTGATTTATATGATCGTGGTTTTTCTATTGAATTAAAAAGTTCTTATTCACCTGCGACAATATCATCTTTATTAAAAAATTATCTACAATCATTACCTGAACCAATTATTCCAAAGAAATGTTTTGATGAATTTCTTGAAATTGGTTCACGCTTAAAATATAATCAAACAAATGACTTAAATCGTTTGAAACAATTAATAGAAACACATCTTTCAAATATACATTATGCTACTTTAGCATATTTATGCTTATTTTTGAAAAGATTAACTGATCATGTTCAAACAACTAAAATGGATTCAGATAATTTAGCTGTTGTTTTTGGAAGTAATCTCATTAGACCAGCAGAAGAGCTTGATCTATATATGTTTAAAGGTCATAGGTAAAGATTACTATCGAGAAAAAAAACAGAGAACTTTATTTTAATCTTTAGCTATAGTTTACTTCCACTAATTAAAGTCTTAATTGATCAAAGCGAATATCTATTTTCGGTATGATGACATTTATTTTTATACAAAAAAAAACAACACTTGTGATTGTATTTTAAATATAGAATAATTCAATAAATCATCTACAAGATTCTTATGAACATACCAATGAATCAATAACAAAATCAAGTGGATTTTCATCATTTTCATCATTGTTATCATCAAATGATCATTTAATATCATCGAAATCCCGTTCTGCATCGATGCCATCATTATATATCACAACATCGTCATCGTGTGATAATGACAATCTATTAGAAGTGGATGAGAGTAAAAGACAGCGAAGACAATCTATTGAAAAATCAGAAATATTGAAATCTGATCCGATGAATACTAATAAGCAAACATCTTCCGATGTTAATCAAAGCCATTGTGAAAATAAATCAGATATGGGACAAACACGATTTGCTAGTACAGATTTACTCAATACAACTAACAATGTTCAACAAAGAATTAGACATTATCCAAGATCAATGAATAATATTTTGACTCGAGAAAATCAAATATCAGGTAAAAGAAAATGTTCTTCTATAATAGATTAAAAAAAACATAATATACAATACAGTTTAGTGTATTTCCTTTTTTTTTCCGAGAGATGAAGAGAAATATAGTCGCAGTCAGTTAGCAGATGATGCACTGGTTCTTTTTTGACTTCTCGGATTTTGATAAGTGTGAACGTCTGGATGTTACACAGAGTGCTAAAACGCACATTGAATCACGATATATGAAAGTTCTAGTCTAATAAATGTTGTTATTTCATTAACTTCAACTTTGATAAACATATATATATATATACGAAGTTAGTGCTGGTGACATATTCGTCGACTCAACTTTGCCAATCGCTTGAAACATATTGGATAAGAAAAAGTCGATTCTTTGTTTTCGTATTGAACAAATCATCTTTGCTCATATAGACTTTATGAAAACTTTCACAAAAAGAAACTTGAAAAAATAATTTTGAACGACTCTATGCGAGAAAGCTTGTCAGCGCAGCCCCGTTGGGGCTAAAATGTGGAACTCACATATTTCAGTCAGTTAGATACTGATCAAATAGAAGATTTATTTTTTCAGTGTAGTGAGATTATATTTTGTTCAAAAATAAGATAATAAAACCTGTTTAACATTTGAAGTTTATTGGATCTATCAATAGGAAATATTACTAGAGAGAACGTATAAAAAACTTTTTGTTTAGAATATGTCAGTATGCTGAAGTGCTTAGTGGACTCATTGAGAAATATTGTGAATGATAATAGTTTAAACAGTATTTATGATATAGCTATCAATATTGTTGAGAAATTCAT